CTCTGCTGGAGAAGGTGGAGAATCTCCAGATCCCAACAATTTGAAGCAAGGAAACTCTGCCCTGCCTTGGATTACTTCAGAGTGTAGCATGGTGCTTTGGTTCTCTTACAGAGGGAAATTGGAGCATTTAAAAAAAGATAAGAGTGGAACTACTTTATGATTCACAAATATTTTTTAACGGGTTTAAATCATTGCAGTACTCCCCTCTGCATATGTATAACCTCAGATATAGAGAGAGTCTCTATCTATGTCTGTAAGCAGAGCAGCATAGTGTCTCTCCTTCTCTTGTCTCATGCAGACAGATCATGCCCAACGGCTCGCTGCCTCACCTGCTGCTCTGTCTGCTATCACACCTGCAGATCTCTGCTTGTAGAAATACAGTAAGTGCTCATAGGTAAAGAGACTGAAAAGCAAGAAAAGTCCAATAAAAGTCTTTAGTTTGAAGCAGTTTATAGGAAATGTCAATAATGTGGATTAGTTAAGGAGGACATTCAGTTTTGTTTGGACCCGGCACAGATAAGCAGGAAAAGCCTTTAAGGGTATTAATCCGATACGACCCGGATATGAGGACAGAGCAGATCCTCATACAGCCTCACCTGTTCCTGCAGATTGTCCTGATATTTCCACACTAATGAAACCTTCTGGAAAAAAAGGATTCATTGGTTTTATTAATGATGCTAGGATCTTATTCTGATTTATGTTTATCATTATCTGATTCTGAAGCACTGGCAGTTCTAGACAGGTTCAACTACAGTTCTAGACTGGTTCTGGACCCTGTCTACGTCATTATACTGAAAGCATACACTACAAAAAAGGAAATTAAAGTACATTTTTCTTGAAAAAGGCATATTTCCATTGATTTGAGCAGGTAGATAAAATAATTTACAAATGTAATAGGGTGAATTGCCTTTAATTTCAATTGGATAATATTATATTATCTTACTTTAAGGGCAAAAATATACATTTCTTTGGCATATCATCTTATTGACCTGCTCGGTTTGAGGGCAAAATACACATAGTTTTAGAAAGTTTTACTTATTAGATCAGTTTTTGCGGAGTAATGCCAAAATATTTTTTATACTGACAGAGTACTTACAGAGTTACCTTGTATAAATAAGATTGATAGGTTTGAAATTGACACAGAATCCATCTGGAGAGGCCCCTGTTGAAAGTGTTTGCAAAAAGTAAGAGAATTTCAGAACAAATGATTAAGTTTAGTTGATTGGGTAAGTCCCCAAATGGCACCTGCTTCCTAAGCCAATCACAGCAGCAGTAATAACTGTGACGAATTATATGCCTGATTTGTTTAACAACTAGGTCAGGAGAAATGGGTAAACATCCGCAAAGGCACAAATAATTTTTCAAAAAGAAACAGGCTCTCTCTAGCTAAAACAATCACAGCTATGTTTGTTTTGTTTCAGCTTTGAATCTCTGGTTGATGCTTGGACGTCATAGACGTCCTTGCATTTTGTCGAACATCTGAAACATTTCTGCGTCATGATTAATGCATCTGTTCGTTTCTGGCAAGATGTACTTTCAGGCGTTTGTGACTTCACAAATCTCCTACCTTGCTTGCAAGGTAACTGACAGAGGGGACTGCACAATCAATGGTGTCCATGTAACAGAATCTCACAACCTTAGATCCAATTAAAAAGTTTGGTCTTGTTTTGAGATCCTTATACTTCCTGTTTTTGCAATCTTTATCATAATTTGTTCCTTGTACCAATTTAATCGTTAATCTATAAATTTTACAACTAAAATTTGCAGTCTCTTTTACAGGTATAGAGGACAATCTTTTATTTCTGGGTGGATCATCTAAATCAGTGGTCCTCCTAATTGTCAATCATTCTGATGATATGTTTACGTAAGGCTGTCCTACATGCTCGTCCCGTTAGCTAACTTTTTCTGTGCATGCGCACTTTCAGGCGTATATCTGTGGTGAGCTACGGCTTCAGTCATCGAAGCTCACCTTTTTCACCCTGGTTCTTTGAAAATGGTTGAGAGTCGTAGGAGAAAAAGTGTCTAGGAAGCGTATGAGAAAAAAAGCAAGGCCTTAGAAGAGGCAGATATATCCCAGAATGCTTTGTGTGGAGATCTCTCATTGCAAAACATTATGGGATTTGCTGTCACAACGGTCCGCTGTCCATAGGCTGTCTCTTCCCGACTATTCTTGTTGCGATTTTATTTTCGTAATTTTACGACTTTATTCTTGTAACTGTTTGACTTTATTCTCGTAATGTTATGATTTTAGTCTTGCAATGTTACAACTTTATTCTCGTAATTTTACGACTTCAATCGTAATGTTACGACTTTATTATCATCGTAATGTTACGACTTAATTCTCGGAATTTTGCGACTGTAATCTCGTAATGTTACAACTTTATTCTCATAATATTACGACTTTATTCTCATAATTTTACAACTTTAATCTCGTAATGTTACAACTTTATTATCATGTTACAACTGTATTATCGTAATGTTATGACTTTATTCTCGTAATTTTAAATTTTTATTCTCGTAATTTTCAACTACTATCAAAATTTTACAACTTTAATCTCGCAATGTTACGACTTTATACTCTTAATTTAAGACTTAATTCTCGTAATTTTACGACTATTATCGTAATTTTACGACTTTATTCTCATAATATTATGACTATTCTTGTTGCGACTTTATTATCATAAATTTATGACTTTATTCTCGTGATGTTATGACTATTTTCGTAATTTTATGACTTTATTCTTGTAATTTTATGACTATTCTTGTTGTGACTTTATTATCATAACTTTATGACTTTATCCTCGCGATGTTACGCCTATTTTTGTAATTTTACGACTATTATCGGAATCTCATGAATTTATTCTTGTAATTTTATGACTATTCTTGTTGTGACTTTATTATCATAACTTTATGACTTTATTCTCGTGATGTTATGACTATCTTTGTAATTTTACGACTTTTTTCTCGTAATTTTATGACTTTATCCTTGCGATGTTACGACTATTTTCGTAATTTTACGACTATTATCGGAATCTCATGACTTTATTCTTGTAATTTTATGACTATTCTTGTTGCGACTTTATTTTCGTGATGTTATGACTATTTTCATACTTTTACGACTTTATTCTCGTGATGTTATGACTATTTTCGTAATTTTATGACTTTATTCTTGTAATTTTATGACTATTCTTGTTTTGACTTTATTATCATAACTTTATGACTTTATTCTCGTGATGTTATGACTATCTTCGTAATTTTACGTCTTTTTTCTCGTAATTTTATGACTTTGTCCTTGCGATGTTATGCCTATTTTCGTAATTTTACGACTATTATCGGAATCTCATGACTTTATTCTTGTAATTTTATGACTATTCTTGTTGCGACTTTATTATCATAACTTTATGACTTTATTCTCGTGATGTTATGACTACCTTCGTAATTTTACGACTTTATTCTCGTAATTTTATGACTTTATCCTCGCGATGTTATGACTATTTTCGTAATTTTACGACTTTATTCTCAAAATAGAAGAAGAAAAAATCTCCAGTCTGGCCCTAACACTCCGTCGCACATAGAGAAGCAAAGAAAACACTGCAAAAGATGAAAAGTAGTAAAAACTGCTCACGTAGTAAACAGCGAGTAGAGCATGCAGACAGGAAGAGAGAGAGGGAGAGGGGAGGGAGGGAGAGAGGGGAGGGAGGGACCATGCAGAGGGAGACGGAGCTTGCCGTCTGGCTAAGCAGCATCCTTCCCTCCTCCCTGCTCCTCCCCTCTATCCTCTCGGCATCTCTCCCACGCTCCGGCGCTCAGCCTGCAGCTCCCCGGATCCTCCCAGATCCTCCAGGGGAAACAAACTCCGCTCAGCTCCGCATTTTTTATTTTGTTTTCTCTTTTTTTCTGTGAGCCACTCCACTCCGCGCTGCTCGGTACTTTCCGTGTCTACCTGCGGCGGCAGCAGCAGCGGAGGTGGGCGGGTGGAGTCCTCTGACCCTCTGTCGCCCACTCGCCTTCTGCAGAGGAGGGGGGGGATATGGATGGACTGCGCCTGCCTCCACTCATAGAAGAGACTCTGGACTCTACAGGTCGGTGCTGCTGCTTCCGTCACAAATTGCTTTTGGCAGATCATGTAGGATCAGAGCAGAAAAGAAACAAAAACAAGGTAACGGGTTGATGTTTATCTCAGCTGAGGAAATGTTTACTGCAAGCTGGACAGAGGCGCTAAGAGGAAGATGATTGTTTTCATAATGAGAAATGGGCACTGGGGGTCAGATATTGCAGACATTTGATGGAGGCAGCACGCTGGGAGGTGTTGCCTAGCTGCCAGCCAATAGCAGGAAATAATGTAGGCCCAGTGTTGGCTCTGTTACACTGGAGCATATGTTATTTCAGGCTGAGAAATTTCATTTTTTTCTTTGCAAGGTTATAAAATGCTGCAGCTTTATTCCAATAAATTCAGAGCATCTCTATTTTCTAAATCAGCCATTTGTTCAGGGAGAAATCTCTGGAATGGTTTCTGTGTATGTGTCCAAAGAAGGGAGGATCTTGTTTTGCATTTTTTGAATGGTTGTGCGTACAGGGCGGCCCTGTTTGGGACTCTGCTTGGAGGATGTTTATCAGTGTAGAGAGCGCTCAGTTGGAACCACAGGTCCAGAGGCCTGCCGGTCCGCCTGGGTCCAGGCTTCCTGTGAAACACTGCCCTTCAGCTGAACTTAGAGGACTGCCTCCACAGGATGCCTAAATGGCAAATGTTGTCATAAACCTCAGGTTGTTTTGTGGGATTTCCTCTGATCAACCACAATGTAGAACAAAGAGACATCATTTAAAGTTCTGACTTTATGTTTAGATTTTCATTTTTCCATCAGAACAGGAACTGTTCCTATTTCCTGACTGACTGATGACCCCACTTGGGATAAAGCGTGTCCGAAATGGATGGATGAATGAAATCATGCCCACAGCATGATGCAGCCACCACAGATTGTCACTGCTGGGGTGATGAGTAAAGGTTGATGTTGGATTGATGCTCTGAGCTTGATACAGTGTTTCACAGTAGGTCTTCACTGTACCTACACTGAGTGTGTCTCCTGCACTTTGTATATACTTTGTATCTCTGCTTCTTTTTCTATGTCTGCTTCTGTCTCCTTGAACCCCAGTCGGCCTCGGCAGATGGCCGCTCTAACTGAGCCTGGTTCTGCTGGAGGTTTCTTCCTGTTAAAAGGGAGTTTTTCCTTTCCACCATCGCCACAAGCATGCTTGGTATGAGGGATTGCCTTCAAGTCAAAGAGTCGATGCAATCAACTGGTGGTTCTTAAATAGAAAAAATTAAAACAGTAAAACTTTATCTGGTTGAATTATCTCTGTAAAGTGCCTTGAGGTGACATGTTGTGAATCGGCTCTATATAAATGAGCTAAACTTAAACCGAAACCTTCCTCTCTGCAGATATGTAGGCTACATTCTTATAATCATTGAAGTTTTTGATTGCCAGTAAAAGTCAATGGACAAATGTTATAATCTGCTGGAAAAATAACGTTTAAAGTGTGCAGTGATGAACACAGTTCTATTCATTCCCAGATTGGTAAGCTGAATTTTGAATAACCCAGATTTAGAACTATTGTTGCAGTTTCACAGGTATTCTGGAGAAAGATGGGATTTTCTCCAGCTCCCAACATTCAGACTTGTCTCTGTCATTTTTTTATATGCCTAAAAAGCAACTATAGAGAGAAAATAAAATATTTTCAGTGTTTTCTGTTAATTTATTTGCTTTATAAGGCAGTTTCATTTAGAGTCTGTCAGGTTGAATGGAGGTTTGAAGGATCCAAATGCAGAGACTGAAGCTGAGGTGGTTTCTTGCAAGATTTAATGAACCAAAAAGGACAATAGAAGCAAAAATCCCAAAACATAAATCCACAAAATCCAAAAATACTAAAAACAAGGAATACTCACAACAAGGGGCCAAAGACATGATGACAAACAGCAACAGTGACAGAGCAGGAGGTGCATATATGGGAGAGAAAAACCAAGAGCAGGCTAATCTGCAGATTGGGAGCAGGTGTGAACAGAGGAGCCTAGAAGGGAGCTGAGGAAAAGGAGCCGAACACAAGAGGGCAGCAGAGGGCAAACAAGAAATACTCAAATACACTCAAAAATAACTAGAATAACGCAAAATGTAAATAAAACCAATGAAAACTTAGAGCCAAAGGCTTGTTGGTTTATTCTTTATGTAACATCGAACAAAAAACTTATAAGGTCAGATATTCTTACAAAAGCTTGGCAGCAGAAAAAGTCTTCCAGTCATATAACAAGCTAACGATTTGCAGCCACCTATCAACACCGTTTTTAGTAAATCAGATTAGATTTTACTACAAAAGAGGATTTAACTTTCCAATATATATTAAATCTAAACAAAAAAAAAATAAATAAAAGGTCCTGAAGTGTTTTGAGAATCTGAAATGTTCAATATAGACTTATTACATCTTTGTATAATTAACAGAGTTGTTTGATGCACAGCTTAAGGCTGTACATTGACCATCATAACATGGAGGCTGTCCCAAGAGAAAATGTTTCCTCCCTAACAAGCTTGTTCCCATTATCGTAACTCCAGGGACCTTTCATTTCATCATAGCCCCAGGCTGGCTGTTGACACAAGGAAATTCAGCGTGTAGTGATGGCAAGTGTGTGTTCTTCAGTAATAACCATCCTGACTGATTCACTATAACAGGAGTGGACGTCAAGCAGGCATTATTAAGTGGACACGGCTAGTTGACTAGTGTAAAGTCACATTGTTCAGAGTTACACACAGTCGTGGTTCTAAATGGCTTAATGTGCTTTTTCTCTGGATGAGGTCATTTCCAGCCAGACGTAAGTCATCGATCTGACATCTGGAGAGAGAGAGGGGAGTTTTCTTGTTTTTCTATTATGCTCACATGGGAAAAATGCTGCTAAATCCACACTCATATAAGCAACCATAAGGAAAATACAGAAGGTCTTACACAAACACACGCTGTCACTAATCAATAAAACATCATCAGATGTTCAGCTGATATTCGCAGGCTGTCTAAAAGCATTATCTTTTGCTGGTCCTCCCACTTGCTCGAGCCGCCAAGCGTTTCTCTCCCTGCGATCCCACTCAGTTTCTTCTTCCCCCTCCGTGAACGCTGCCATCATCTCTGCTCTCTCCAGCACCCACACACACACACCCCTACCGACACACACACGCCCATCCACACACACGCACATAACCTTTTGTACCTGACAGCGTCCTCAGCCCACACGGCTTTTCTTTAGAGTTCACCACCCGTGGTGCAAAAATTCCCATATCACTAGCGAGGCTCTCTGGAACTAATAAACAGCATGAAGGGATGTCTTAGAAAAACTTTGTGGATGTGAGAAACTCTCAGAGAACCGGCTAAGAAAACAAATTGGGCATGTTTGTCCAGTCCTCAGGGTGTCCCAGATCCCTCATTCTCTGGCCTGACTTATTTGGGCTCTGCGTTTGAAGAAAACAAAAAACAATAAAGTAGAGGAAAAAGTATTAAACAGGGTTTTCTCAGTGCACATGTCTAATTGAGGTTATTAACACATAAGGTCTTAGTCAATCCCTTAGAATTCCAATAAGATCCATGTATAAATAAGATCAGTAATCAAAATATAAGTAAGGAATTACTGAAGTGAATGAACTATTTCATATGAAAGCTTTTTTGTACAGATAGCATCATTTATAACCATTCTCATGCATTGAGCAGGGGTGATTTTGACCAATTGCTCCAGATTGACTTTCTCCAACTCTTAAAAATGTCAGTTTTTTTTTACAGCGTTTTTCAATTAGATTGGAATTAATTAATTGCCTGCTCCTTATTTTTTCCTTCTCTAATACTCACTGAGAGCTTTCTTCCCATGTGGGGGATAATTGTTTTCGTTAAAATCCCTCATTATGTTACCACCTACAAACTTAACTCTGTGCCGATTTGGGAGTTTATGTACAATGCCATAACCTGGCATAAGCCAGATTGATAGGTGTAGATCCATTTGAATTCTATAGGGTATCCATCTGGAAAGGCTCCTGTAGAAAGTCTTCATAAAAGGGAGGGCCTTTCAGTGCTATTGTTCGATCTGATTGGTTTATATAACCAAGTGACACCTACCTCCCATGTGAAGCTTTTAGCCAATCGGGGCAGCAGTAGAAGCTGTGACAAATCAAATACTTGATTTGTTTCACAACCAGCAGAGTTAACTGATAAATGTAACTCATCCGGTTGGGTGGAACGCTTAATTATCTTTTCTACCCACAAAGGCAAAAGTCGCTTCCTTTGGCTAATTAAAAAAAGAAAAAAAAAAATAGTGTATTTCAGCTAACACTGGCACAACCATGTTGGTTTTTGCTTCAGCCACCTCAGATTCATAGGCAATACTACACCTCATTGGTTTGAAACATTTCTGCATTTTGGGAGTTGGTGAATTCACAATTTATCTTGCATACATGGTCAGCAATACCATTCGTCATCCAGACATATTGCGTGCAATTATACCCAAAGTATTTACTGTTTATCTTGTTCTCAATGAATCAAATAGTTCTGCCTCAAACGTTAGGAGGATTTCAATCCGATTTTCTTCTGGGGTGGAGTCTAGCACTCATAAAAGCATCCGCCACATCAGGGCTCAGAACAGGGGACTCAGTATAGAAGGTAGACAGACAGTTGGATAATTCAAATGTCTTATTTATGAATCTGCAGTTAGAAGAACCTCTGCAGAAAGGAAACACAGTTTAGTGACCACTTTAATCTGGCAGAGGAATTTTATGAACGTGAGTCACTAACCTGGTTTACTAGTTCAGTTCGTGCCCAGAGAACAAGGTGGGATTAAGCTGGTGGGCTTCCAACAAGACGTGGCATGTCCTGCCCATATTGTCCCAGATGTTGCAGGCCTGGAGGATTGAGAACAAGCAGGAGACCATATCCAAGCAGACAAAGGAAAGCAGGATCATCCAGAGTGCTGAGCCCAAGCTGGTATTGAGGACTATTCAGGATTCAGAACCAGGAGATCAGAAGTCCAAAGAGGTTCCAAAAGGAAATCCAGGTCAGTGACAGG